TGATACCTTCTGCTTTTTTTTTTTTGCTGAGTACCGTTTTGGTTATTCGTGGTCATTTATATTTTCATATGAATTCCTGATGAAGCTTTGCTTAGCTGGGTAGGTTATTCTTGGTAGAAATTGTTTATCTTTGAGAACTTTCAAGATTGGGCTCCTAGCACTCCTAGCCCGAAGTGTTTCTGTAGATAAATCTGCTACTATTCTAATTGGTCTTCCCCGGTAGGTAGTCTGACCTTTATTTCTTGCTGCCCTTAGGATTTTTTCTTTTATACTTACTTTGCTTAGGTGAATTATTATGTGTCTGGGAGTTGGTTCTTCTCATTTGTTATCTTGCAGGGCTTCTCTGAATCTCTTGTGTTTGAATTTTCACATCACTGATGAGATGAGGGACGTTTTCTTGAGTAATTTCATGCAATGTTTGTTCCAGAGTGGTCTCTTTCTCTCTTTCTGCCTCAGAAAGTCCAATACTCTAGGTTTGGCCTCTTGAAATAGTCGCTCATCTCTTGAAGGTTTTGTTCTGACTTCCAAAGCTTCTTTTCTATGTTTTTGACAGTTTGGGCTAGTTCTATATTTTGGTCCTCAAGTTTGGACATTCTTTCTTCTGCTTGGCTAATTCTGCTTTCCATGCTTATTTGTTTGTTATTTATTTCAGTCACAGTATCCTTCACTCCTGTTATATCAGTTATCAACTCCTTCCTATTTTCCTCTTGTCTCTCCTCAATTATTTTTATTCTCTCTGTTAATGTCTTGATGTCTGGGTTTGTAGTATGTGACCATTCTGGGGCCTCTTCATTCCTTGTGTTCCAAAGTCTGTTTTCTCAGTGCCTACCTCCCAGGGGTCTGCATGAAACCTATATTCTTCTTTTGGTTTTTCTTCATTTGTGTAGATTTTCCTCCAAATTTTTCCTTTTTTTTCTTTTTCCTCCCCCTCTTCTGTAATTCTGTTGTTCAGGGATGGTGGGGAGGTTTTACTTCTGTTTGCTCAATCCCCTATTCTTTCTTATTTGAATCCTCTAGCTTTGTTCAATTCTGAAGCTGGACTGTGGGTTGGGGGCTGTACTTTTTTGCAGTTTTGAGATTTAATTGAGGGGGGAGCTGTTATTCAAATCCATCTGCAGATCCCAGTATCCACCGACTGATGTATGGGTACCCTGGAACCCACTTTCCACTGCCTTGCAATCTGTCCATGCAGTGGGGGTATATGTTTGCTTCCTGAAAGCAAAATGAGGTAAGAAAAAGGAAAAGAATGGAAAATGGAAGGCAGGTTGAGAGGAAGGTGGAAAGAGAAGATTAAGAGGGAAAATAGACAAATATACTAACAAATGAAATGATACACAAAGACAGAAAAGAGTAAAAAAAAAACCTAAAACATACAAACAATCTTACAGACACACAAGCCAACCAACATTCCTAATGATGTACTATTCCCCTACACAAATAGAGAGTCTAAAGAAAAAAATCAGTAAAATAACAGAAACAGAGCAAATATGAAAATGTTATCAATAACAGTAAGAAGAGAGAGAAAAGAGGTAAAAAGTGAGTAAAACAAACAGAAAAAAATAAAATAAAGAAAATAAGAAACCAGGTTCACTCTGTAATCATTCTTGGAAGTCCAACATCCTTTTAGCTCTTATCTCTAGCTCTCATCACAGGTTGGTAGGGTTGCTCACAGCTAGAGTCAGATACCCCAGGCCTGCTGCAGGAGTGTGGATCAGGTCTGGATTCAGTCGGCTTGCTGCCTTTCAAGTCCCACTCAGATCTGGCCTGTCTGTGTCTGATCCAGCATAGGGGAGGGTCTTCTGTCTCTCTCAGTTTGATGCGATTACCTTGGTCCCAAGTTGGAGTCTGGTTAGAGCTGGGCGGGGCAATACAGGTTTCTGCCTGGTTTTGGGGTTCTACCTGGTCAGGGGGCAAAGTTGGGGGAGGAGGAGTGCAAGACAGCTGGGCACTGCAGTTGGCATGGCATGGTGGGGTGGGGCAGTGCCACTGTCAGGGAAGCCCAAAGATCTGCAGGGTCAGGAACTGAGGGCACCCTAGGTGGGGCAGCTTCAGTGGCAGCAGTGGTGGCAGCCACTGATGATGCATGGGGCCAAGGAGAAGACTGGCAATGGCAGCAGCAGGCACTGGGGTAAAGCAAGAATCTTTATGGATACTCGCTTTCATGGACACTCTCACAGTCCAACCTGTCCCGTCGCCATCTTGCCAGAAGTTCCTCAGAACTACTTTTTTAAAAAACAGAATTATAAAGTATATACAAGGGTAGTGATGTTCCAAACTTTTTTTAAAAAAATGAATTTATCCTGCTCTCTTTTAAAGTATTATGTTTAGGTTCCTATTTTTTGTTTGTTTGTTTGTTTTAGGCTTACTCTTTTTTCTTTTTTTAAAAAATAACTAAATAAATTTCTTCAGGACAAACACTAGTTTATAATTGAATTTTAAAGCAGAAAAAGTAATGAGTTGCAACTTGAAATATTGTGAGCATTGCTATAATGCCAAAATAATGTAAACTTTTCTTTTATAATTAATACCTCTTTAAATAGATTGAATCTAGGAAACAGATGATTCTCTAAGAAGATTCCATATCACTAATTAGCATTAGACTATTTACTATTTTTATTTGGCTTTTTAACTCAAATACTGGAAACCACAGTAGAATTGCATTTATTATTCTATTATCTACTTGGTTGCTAGTTCTGGATTTGAAATAGTTCATTTCCAGTCTGGAAAAAAACAACTAAATATATGGAGCATTTACAGAGTACTAGATATTTCTATGAACATTTAAAAAATACTATTTTACTTAATTCTCAACAACCCCAACAGCTGTTATTATTAGTCTTCTTTTTCAGGTGAGGGGACAAGGCAAAGATATGCTAAGTATCTTGACTGAGAAAATAGTAAATTTTGTATTCCAACTCAGCCTAGGTTGTTCATGAGACACTATCAAGCCCAATTGCTACAATTGCTAATCCTTTTCAATATGGTGGCTATTGGAAAGCCCGGTCTCTATGTCCTCTGCTTATTATAATTTGGTTCACAATTATCTTGAATATTCTCATCCCTATTGTTAGTTCATTTTTCAAGTTCTATTAATACTACTCTTGGTATTTTGGTCCTCTTTACAATGAATTTGTAAATTTTTCTGTGAGAAATTGAAAACTTTACAATATTACTACATCTATCCAAAATAATTTTATATTTATTTATCTTTCTATCTTGATCTAAAATAATTTTATTATATTTATTCTAATAACTTCATGAGATTTTTTATTACTCTTATAAATGGAAATTTAAATTTTTTAAAAAATTGGTGAGATTTTATATATAAATACATATATATAAAATTGGGAGGGGTATACCTCATCAACAAGGGTACCTGCATGATCAATGTTTGTATATCTAATTTTCAATTGTACCCCACATCTTTATAAATAAATTTTTAAAAATTGGTGATACATACAAGGGGGGGGACCCAAAAAACCCATAATTTATTTATAAAAAGCTGTATTTATTCTTACATGTTTAAATTTCATTCACCTTCAAAATACTCTCCATTTGATGCAATACACCTATGAAGATGCTTTTCCACTGCTCAGAACACTTTCTTGAAGTTATCAATTTTGATACCTTGTAGTGCTTCTGCTGCTTTTGTTTCACTTCTTCCACATCAGCAAAATGTTTCCCTTTGAGGACTTTTTTCATCTGGGGAAACAAACAAAAAAGTCACTTGGGGTGAGATCAGGTGAATAGGGACGGTGAGTTAAGGAGTCATGCCATTTTTGGTTAAAAACTGCTGAACACGCAGCATGGTATGGGCAGGTGTGCTTATAAATCACCCATCATGTAATAGACAGATGCATTGAAAGAATCTCAAAAAAAAAAAAAAATTTCACTGATGCCAAATGCAGCCTCTCATAACAACAGTGCTTGCTGGTACACTGATACTGATGGAGTCCTAGAACACTTAAATAGTGGGGGAAACCTGTACCACAAGGGGCCTGTTCTCCAAAAGATAATTTCATTGTGTGTGTGTTGTTTTTTTTTTTTAATAAATTCCCCCTTGTATGTAACGTATTGGTATTTGGATATTTATATTATTTTTAATCATCTTAACAAATTCTGTTATTAGTTCTGAAAAGTAAAGAACTCTTCTCCTCTGGAATTTTCCTAATATTTTCTCACTTTTCGAAACATCTACTCCCATCTATTCTAGTTTTTGACTCATAGGGCCAGGATCTTTCTTTCTTACTAACTGTCCTTCATTCTATACTTTGTTTAATCATCTGTTCTTAAATAGTATGATATTGAGTACTTTTGAAATTGTAACAACATTCACATAATACTTTTTGTTCTATAAATAGAGAAAAATAGTTAACATTCTTAACCAAGTATCTTGCATTTAACACAATTTATCCTTCAGAATGAAGCTATAAAATTGGAAGCATCAAATAGGATTTTAAGGAAGAAAATAAAAGTAAGTTTTTTTGTGAACCAGTGTCTATCAATAAAAATATTCTCTTTAGTGCCTGCTTATTCTGTGTCATAAGCCAAAAATAATAATATAATACACTTTTTTCTAAGGATAATTTTCTGTAATGCTAGGAATATCTGTCCATGCAGACATTAGCTTAAAGTAAACTAAGGTTCAATGACAAAACTTAACCACTCAGTTTCAATGACTGACTGTGTCATGAGAGCTGATCATTCCACTAATCCTTCCCCATATTACATTTCAGTGTAATGTGTTGATTTGGTGACAAACATATAATGAGCTGGCTTCTCTAACAACTTTCAGGGTACCCCTTCAAAATACATACTAACAACTTGTTGCTTAACAGAGCATACTTCTACTGCATATCTATAACTCTGTATTATATAGTATTAATGAGTATGCCCTACATGGTTTTAGAAGTAACAATCTATTGGGAATCATTACTGCCATTATGTGTGATCAGTATCATGCCATTATACATGACCAAGTGATTTGTAATTCTTTGTAGGTTATTCAAAAACAAGTGGGGAATATCTTGGAAAAGAGTAAGATCAGCCAGAAGGAGCAGCAGTAAGTACTGATAGCATGATAAAATAATTAGAACAGCATCCTGCTACACTCAAAACCGTTCAATCAAAACTAGCTTAGACCAATGGGAGAGTTCACACTCATGAATGTTAGCCTTAAATAGACACTGAGCATCCTTTCATGTGCTTCAGAACACTTAGTCTAAGATTTAAATCTTAATCTGGATGTGTTATTCATCACATAGGAATAAATTTATTGGAAAAAGTTGACAAGTCAAGGATGAATTATCATGGGCAGGAGTCAGAAAAGTGGGTAACGTATGGCTGTGGGTGACTGTGTTTTCAATATATTACTCAGAATATTTCAGTTTAAAAAGTGACTGATTTTATTTGTTACATAGGTTTATACTTGACATAGTTTCTTTTCTTAGAGTTGGTACTGCAGTTCTATCTCAGGATTTTGCATTATTAAGAGTAACAGAAAACCATAAGATGCTTTAAATACAGAAAAACTTCTTTGTATCAACAGTCAAAAAGCCTTTTCTGTGTAGGTGGCCTCTGCTCTATGATATTTTCAAGGGACTAAGCCTCTTTGACTTTTCTTCCCTGCTTTCCTTTGAGTGTGATTTTCCTTCTCAGGGTCTCAGGCATTAAATCCATGTCCCAAGGAGAAAGACAGGAGAAGGGGAAGGACAGACAGCAAAGAGCTTCTTGTCATGAGGCTTTTCTGATTTATTTAACAAGGACAGTCCCTTCCAGGTATGCCCACGTCTCCTGACCAGTGCCATGTGACAAGGCCATCTGTCACTGTAAGGGAGGCCAGGAAATACTAACAATTTGTTGCTTAACAGAGCATTCTTCTATTGCGTATCTATAGCTCTGTATTATATAGTATTAATGAATATATCCTACATGGTTTTAGAAGTAACAATCTACTGGGGATCATAGAAATAGAACACCCCACTTTCCAACTTATGTTATAGAGAAATCCATGTAGTAAAAATATTTAGAGGGTGCTGATTGAGCCATGCAAGTGGATACAGGTTTTGCGATTCCTTACATTATGTTGAGTGTTCTCAAAAAAATAAATAAGTGGAGAGAGAAAGAAAGAGAGAAAGAGAGAGAGAGAGAGCGAGAGCGAGAGCGAGAGAGAGAGAGAGAGAGAGAGAGAGAGAGAGAGAGAGAGAGAGAACAAAGTTGACGAAGCATCTTCAACCACCTTGTCAATGGGAGTAAGTGGACCCGAAATCTAAACATCATTATGTTCATGGCAAATCTGCCTCTTCTTCCATGCTGTATCTGGTCTTGAAAATGCTGAAGGGAAATTTAACCACATATTTAGAAAATCATTGTCACATTCAAGACCAAATGCTACTAAAATAGCCTTTAAAACAATAACAGATAATTACAAATTCTCATCTTGTCTGTTTGGGAGTAAATGTGTCTTAAAATCAATGTTTATTTTGAAATTTTCTTTCATGCTTAATGTACTTTTTTCTAATTTATTGTATTGATTTTTATGCATTTTAAGGCAACTTTGGAAATTTATTAAGGAATTTGTAAAATTAGAAGAAACAGTAACCAACTCTCAAGTGAATGAAAACTGAGCAATGCAAGTACACAACTGCTGTGTGCATAGGATGGCTGTTTGCTGATGTACAAATTAACAAGATATATTTTGTCTTGTCAGCTTTAACTCCTAATAAAATTAATGTGGTATATGTAACCTACTCAGAATACTGAAATAAATGCATGATCACATATGATTAGTTTTTACTTTTGTATCCATATTCATAGCAATTCTAGTATGTTCTGCTTTCATTTAATAACTTTCCACTGTGGAAAATACTTTTTACTGTTTGATAAAAATAAGGAATTCAGCACTGCTATAATACAGGTGAAATTTGTTTATTTGCCAACAAAAATTATATATATGCATTTAATAAAATCTAGTAGTAATCTCATTAATATTCATTTAATTAAATAATCTTTACTGATTGAAATTGATACAGTGCTCCGCAAACGTCACAGCGCTAACATGGTGCTTTGCATTTCATGTCTCAGCTGTTTGTGATCCTCATGACAACCTGGGATTTGAGATTTTCTTAAATCTTCACTTGCCTTTATTCTAGTCTAGATATCTAGAGTAAAGATAAGTAAGTTTTCTTTGGGTAATCTTCTATAGGGTATTTTGAAGATCAAATGGAAATATTGAAGTACAAATAAGAGGGATTCAATCTTAGTTTGGAATAGAGTTTGAGGTGAGAGAGACAGAAAGAGAGAGAAAGAGGGAGGGAGGGAAAAAACGAGAGAAATAGCTTTGCATTTTATGGATCAGGAGATCATTGTCAGCAAGGTGCATTCCTCCCAGTCCTCTTTAAGTTCCATTAGTTATTTCTGGGTCATGACTCATTCTGCTTGTAGAGATAAAGTGGTGGAAGCCTCTTAAAGTTTTTTATTTTTATTTTTATTTTACCATGTATAGAAGTCAACTGGACTTTATAATGCTGACTTTGTTCTCTCTGCTCCAGTGGCTTTCTATTGGTTATTGTGTCCACTGGAATCCTCGTAAGTAGACAACAATTTTCTCACTATACAGGGGAGGGAACTGAGATGTGAAGTGGTGAATTGATTTGCTTAAACTGCCTTGTATGTGATAGACCTGAGATCTGAACCTAGGTTTGGCCGACCCAGTTCCCTTATCTCCCAATCATGCTGTATCTTGCACACACATGACTGGGAGAGATACAGGGAAATGAAATTATTGATTGTCAAACAGTGACATAAAGACCAATTGCTCTAAACCAACCAAACAAACGAGCTGTATTTAGTTGTTTGCCAAGCAACAAAGCGCAATTTACTCGAGAGCTTCAGTCTCTAGTGGGAAAGCAAAGAGTCAGATATAGAGGAAAAGGTGCATGCTATTCCATATTTGGAGAGCTTTAGGCATTACATTCTGAGTCGATTTGTGGTGAGGGTAAAGGAACCGGAAAGTCCCCTATTTGGGGGAGGATTGGTCATTATTTTAGCCAATGTCACAAAAGAGATATGAGATTGGTTAGAATAAGGCTTTATTAAGATCAAAGTCTTGTAGCAGATGCTTTGATATGTGCATTACTGGGACTATTAAAGTTTTCTTCTAAAACCGATTAAAAATCAGCCTTACTGTTGCTGGACGTGGTGGCTCACACCTATAATCCCAGCACTTTGGGAGGCTGGACTACTTGGTGACTACAATAAATACAATTCATCTCTGCAATAAATATATTTTTAAAAATAGCCAGACAGCTACTTGAAAGGCTGAGGTAGGATTGCCTGAGCCTAATAGACCAAGGCTGCTGTGTCCATGAGCATACCACTGCACTCCAGTCTGGGTGACAGTCTGGGTGACAGAACCTCCAACTAAAAAAGAAAATCCTACTATTTATTATTGTATTAAATAAATATTTATTATGTCAACACTCAAGTATATTTCAGACAGCTTGCCAGTAGTTGGGAATACAAAAATTAATAAAACATGGTCCCAGTCCTTAGGGAGTTTGTTGTACAGTCCTGTGAAAGGAACAATGACCAAGAAAAAAAAAATCTAATAAAACTAACTACAAGCAAGGATATGGATAGGCAGACTCTTATCCACTGCTAGAGCAAGTATATTGATAAGAGCATTTTGGAAAGGAATTTGGCAACAAGTTGTATGAATCACTGAGTATCTGTGTGTTCCCAATATACCAGCCCTTCTTGCATTTAAGCAGGACCATTTTGGGGCCAATATGGAATACTTGTGATAACATATTACAAGAGAGGTGAACTCTGGAAAGGCTGGCTTATTTGTAAAGGGAACTAGAGAATAAAAGGTGTAAAAAATTTGGATTTTTCAGTGTGGAAAAGTGAACTACTTTGAGCCTACAGTTAAGAGATGAGATTAAAAATATCTATAATCTGATTAAACATCTGAAGAAGTAGACTACAGGTATGGCCTTCCCAGCAAAGCCTTGCAGCTTCCAAGAAAGTATCTTTGAGTACAGGATGAGAGATGGGGAGTGGCAATCAGGAAGCAAAGAGAAAGATTAAGAGTTTCACTAAGTGAATGGTAGACACATTTTCAGTATATCTATTGGAAGTCTACTGAGTTTTTGAAGGTGGCTTACTGCCAAGGAAATCAAGCACCTCAGGTAAGAAAAGTTCATTACTGTTCAAAACCCAAATGGTTGATCCTTGACCTTCCATGAGGAGGAAGAAAGAAGCTGAGAAAACTGTGTATCTTTCAAGGAGGTGTATTCCCGAGTCCACTTCAGATGTGCCCTGGGGGAGACATAGGAGGGCTCACTCAGGAGCAAGGACACTGCACAGAGAGCTTGGGCTAGAGTGTTGAATCAAGAAATATCACCTGCTTCATGGGAGGAGACTTTGCATTGTCTTCTCTGCAGGGTTTTAGAAATGCTATAGACCAAGGATAGCTCTATGTGTATCCTATTCTTACCCTTTCTGTGTGAAAATTCATTTGTAAGGTTATTGCAATAATTCTGGTTTTTAGCAGAGAGACAACTGTGTATCCCTCAGAGACCTTGGACTTAAAGCTGAATGTAATGACTAGATAGGAGCATGTTCTATGCAAGGAAAGAAATGGTCAAAAGGACATTAGTAATCAGAAGTGTTAGACTATGAAGACATTTCCTCATTGTGGAACTGTGGTGAAAGTCTAACATTCCAGGTGAAGAGACCACTAGGACATTGGTACCTTGGTGAATCTGGGTCCTTGAATAGAGACTACTACTTTGAACATATAACATGGTAAGATATATGGTTTTATACCAGGCCATTGGATATTGGGGTTGATTTGCTACTGCTGTGTAACTTCATCTAGGCTGATCTGCTAGAAATGTTTACCTTAAAGAAACTCAGGAACATGTACACAAGGAGACTTATCTTTCACTTTCTCTCTCACTCTGTCTTCTCTATTTGTCTCTCTGTCTGTCATCTTTTCATGTATCTAAATATCTGTCTGTTGATGTTCACTGGTGAACTGTGATAGTGGAAAACAGAAGCA